TTGGGAGCAGGAGCTCAAACCAGGAATCAGGGCTTTGCGCTGGGCTTTGGGGCCTGGGCCTGCACAGTTCATGCGGTTGGCACCCCATGCCCCCCTTTGCCACGCCAGAGTCCACGCAGCCTGGCCAGTCCCTGCCACCTCCAGGAGACCTGGCCTGGCTGACTCACCACCCTTTCTCTCCACTTCCGCCTCCTTGCTGGGCAGGTCGGGGGCTCCACCCAAGAGGTAAAACCCACATGATGAGCCTTGCCACCGCTGCACTTGGGCTTTGGGAGGATTAGTCAGGTTCGGTTTGCAAAGTGCTCACACCCTGAGAAGAAAGGCGCCGGGCAGCAGAGAGCAGCTGCCACAGAAAGCACTGAGACTTCGGGGCCAGGGTTTCAGGGAGGCAAGTGTTGGCCCCGGGCTAAACGTTCATGAGCTCGGTGACTCTTTGCAGTTCAGCAGCAGAGTAGGCAGTTGCTATCCCCGTTTTATGGATGAGGAAGCTGAAGCTCAGAGTGGCCAAGGGATCTGCCCAAGACCACACAGCAGGTGCCCTGCAGAGCCGGGTTGGAGCTGGGTCTGTTTGGTTTTGAAGCCTGTGTTTGTGCCCATTCTTTCCTGCCCCTCCACGGACTGCACCGCACAGCTCCCTGTGGGGTTCTTCCTGCGTGTCTCTAGGGCTCCCCAGGGCTGAATCAAAGCAAACCCCCAGGGGCAGGGGCTTATTAGATGGAAGGATGGCAGCCCCGTGTGAGGCCAACAGTGTGGCCCATTCCCGGCCGTAAACATCTGTCTGCTTCCCCCGCCACGCCTCCATTCCCAGACCCCCCAGTCTCTCTGTAGGAGGAACCAGCGCAGGCAGTGGTTCCCTGTGAGTCGGGGCGGAGGCTGGGAAGTAAGTCCCTGCAGGCCTCTGAACCAACAACCATCGTCTTCTGTCCAGTCCACCCTAATGGCAGCTGGCATATGCCAAACTCCATGCTGAGCACCAGGGAGACAGTAAAATGTGGCTTCTGCCCTCCAAGGCCCTCGGTCCCCTTCTGTGGGTGGAGACAGAACCCCAGCCCAAGTGGTCAGTTCTGGAAGCAGAGGATCCACCGGCCTGTTGTGACCCAGAGAGCAGGCAGGCCTGACGTCAGCACTGATAGCGAGGCCCAGGCCAGCCTGGCCCTCCGACTCATGCCTTAAAGCTCACTCCGAGGCCCTGTGTGGGGCCAGGTCTGGAGCAGAGGGAGTAGGGACAGGAGGAGCAAGTGCAGACTAAAAAAAAACCCTCACGGCCACCTAGGGACCTCGGCTGTGTCAAGCACATCCCAGGAACGAGTAATCTGATTCATTAAACCCACAGGCAGGGCAGGAGTCCAAAGGGGAACCATGAAGTCTGATCTAAGATTGGTCACAGGGCCAGGGGTCCCTCAACTGGTCACAGACTTGGTGGAAGTCGAGTTGTTGGTAACAGGCACTAAAAAGTGCCAGAAACCAGTCACCAAGATGGAGGACACGGAGGAGGACGGAGGAACCGAGTTCTATTTTGGATGTGTTGAGTCAGAGGGAGCTGGAGGCCAGCCAGGAGGTGTCCAGGGACGGTTGGCCAGACCTCCGAAGCTCAGGAGGGACGTCTGGGCCGAAGGTCACCTGGCTTAGGTTGTTTTTCTCAACAGCTTGCATGAAGATGTGAGCATCCTCAATCATGTAGGCAACACAGAGAAGAATGATTAACACCTTGGTAGACCGAGGACTCAGGACGCCTCCAGCAGGCGGCCCCTATGGCCCAAGCCCAGCAAGCTGACGTTTGCCCAGGGCGATGAGCCCTCCTTGGGGGTTACATGAGTACAGGGTGGGGAAGGCCTGACCTGGCCTCAGCTCCTGCAGAGACAACTGGGTGTCCACGCTGGCTACAGGCTCCACCTGAGCTGGCAGAGGAGGGCGTTTCTGAACACGCTTGGAGGATATGAGGGTACATTAGAGCAGTGATCACAGCAGATCTCTGGCCACCTGCACGGTCTACTCAATAGTCACGGCCTTGCATCACAGGGACAGGGAGATCACCGTGTGAAGTGTGGACCCCTCAGTCTGGGGCTTTCAGAGTAAACACTAGTCCCTCTCCCCTCTCCCCTCCTCCCCTCCCTCCCTCCCTTCTTTCTCTTCCTCCCATTCTGGTCACAGCTGGATCCCATAGTGAAGCCTTCAGTGTGGAAAGGCTGGGAAACCAGGGAGGGGTAGAGAATGCACGGGGGCTTTCTAAGAGACTTCCCAGGAGGGACATGAGGGGCTTTTTAGGTGGTGGAAGGGCTGTCATATAGACCGTGAGTAGAAATGGGCTTGTCCTTACCTATGTGGAACGCAGGACCAGGATGTGCAAGCCTCACACATAGGCGGCACTTCTTATTAAATGTTAATGGGCCGTTTGACTAGGAGTGGATGTCCTGGGAAGGCCCTGACTGCTCCCAGCAGGCAGGGACTCCTGGGCTCACAACCTGGCAGAGAGTGGGCTCACTGTGACTGCTGAGCACAGTTGAGTGAGAAGCTGCCCAGGAGCTGCTGACCAGAGCTGCTCCACAAAGAGGCAGGTGCGCCTTTCCTAGCGGTGTGTGGGTGGTGCGGGAGAGAGCCCTCTCAGGCTGGCTTCAGGGGGACTCCTGCACTGGGGACTAGCCAAGATGCCTCGGGCCTCTGCCCACTCTGCTGTGACTGTCACCTCTTAGAACTTCAGAACCATCTGCCTGGCCTCCTCACAATCTGAAAGAGCCTTGCCAGTGCCCTCAGGGTACAGATAAAGAAACCGAGGCCCAGAGCCCTCTCTGGGCTGGGATGGGACCTGCTCGAGCCCCCATGGCAAGCCGGTGGCAGCACCAGGAAAAGAACTCAGCATCTGGGATTTTCTCATTCACTCCGGCCGCCTCCTGCAAGTGGCTCTTGGGTTAAAGTTTCACTGGTCTGTGGATACTTCAGCTGAGCTCATTGTCCTGCTCACATCACAGGGCCCTCTGGAGTCCCTGCAGGTGTGGTCTCAGGATAAAACCAAGATGAGTGACCAGATCCCCCAGCCTGGCCCACAGGGCCTGGGCGGACCTGAGCCTCCAGCTTGCAGGGACCAGCCACCCCTGGCTTCCCAGGGCAGCAGCCAGGCTAGACAGCATTGGGAGTACACACAGCATACAGATGCCCGGCTGCAGAGGAGAGTGTAGCTGGCTGATGAGCAGGGTCTGGAGCCAGCCCGGGGCCCTCCCTCAGCCCCAGCATTAGTGCAAAACACACCTCTGACCGCAGGCATTTAAAGATCAAAAGAGGCCAAAAAAGCTTTTAAGAGCCAGGCCCCTCTGTGCTGCCTCCAGCCTCCCGAGGGAAGGGCTGACTGGCTTCTGCAGCTCACAGGTGAGCCTGGGAAGGGCCCTCAGAATGCAGTGGGTCTGCCGACCCCTTTCCTCAGAGAAGCTCCTCGGGGTGCAGACTCAGACTCTGGCTGTAGGGGGAGCCCTGGAGCACCCCCACACTTCCCTGGGAGAGGGAGGACACCCTCAGCCCCCCTGTGCTGTGGGCTTTCTGGTGCCTGACCCCACCCTGGGAATCTGATGCTAGCTCATTCAATCTCCATAGCAACTCTGGAGAACAGGCATCATTCTCCCCATTTCACAGACAAGGAAACGAAGGCTAAGCGAGGGCCACTTAGCTAATATGTGGTAGAGTTGAGGTTTGAAATCAGGTCCGATTCTGCTACCCTTCCATGATCCCAGGACCCGGTAGGCTGAGGAAGCAACCCCAGAGCACAGTGGGACACTTTGCCACTCACTCTCCCTGCCCCTCAGGCCTTCCTAATTACTGCAGATCACTGTCCTGCTGGGGACAGCCTCCCTGTCCCATGAGGCGCCTCCCGCGCCCTCAGGGCCTGCCACCCCTCCCGGGCACTGCAGTCTCTGCTCTTCCTGCCACAGCTTTAGGAGTGGCCTCTCCCAGTCACACCTGACCAAGTTCAGACCTTCCTGGGGCCCCTCACTGCCTCACTGTCCTTGGAAGAAGGCCCAGCTCTTGAGATGGCTTTTGGGGTCTCCCAGCACCTGGCTTTCTTCCCACTGAAAAGTCTCAGCTTTCCTCGCTCCCTCCCTCCCAGATCCTCTCACGAAGTGAACCAAGATTCCTTATTTACTTTTTTGGAGACAGGGTCTCCCTCTGTCACCCAGGCTGGAGTGCAGTGGTGTGAGGACAGCTCACTGCAGCTTCAGCCTCCCAGGGTCTAACAATCCTCCCACCTCACCCCACAGTAGGGACCACAGGTGTGCACCACCAGGTCTGACTAAAAGGATTTTTTTCTGTAGAGATGGGGTCTCCCTGTGTTGCCCAAGCTGGTCAATATTTAAGACTTTGTTCCCATCCCCCTTGACATGGCTAGCTCTTCACTGCCCCTTCCGTTATTTGCTTAGTTAACTATGTACTGAGCACCTACTATGTGCAGGAACAGTGCAGGTGGTGGGGATCCCCAGCACCCCACCTCCCCAGCTCCATTCCTGTGCTGCACGGAAGGCTGGGACCCTCAGATGGATGCAGCCGCGGGCTGTCAGATGCGCATCAGCCCTGTGGCTGGCTGTGTATTCCTACAGACGGGATTTCAAGGTTTCTCTGACGGCAGTGCTGTTGAGAAGCTCAGGCAATGAAGGCATAGGCTATCCAGACAAGGAAAAGCCCTGAGGAATTATTTCCACATCCTTCATCTCAGAGATGCGGAAAGTGGGGACGGGGGAAAAGCTCTGTCCAGGGTAGCACAAAGGCAGATGCTTTGTTAGAACCTGGGTCCTCCAACACCCAGTGCGGTCCAGCCCCTGGGGCAGGTGAGACGGGGGGTCCCCATGGAAAAATAGGAGGTGGCTCCTGTCACACACGCCGAGGGCTTCTGTGAGACGGTTGCCTCCTCTCATGGGGGTGGGGATGGGAGTACAAGGGGTGAAGAAAGAACTTGATGCAGTCTCTGCCTCTCGGACTGACCAGTGACCACCCACCCTTCTCTGTCCCCACCTCCGTAGAAGCCACCGTGAAAGATGACATGAACAGCTACATCAGTCAGTATTACAATGGGCCCAGCACTGGTAAGTCTGGGTAGGCGGCTGTTTTGCGTGTGCCAGAACCCCATGCTGCATGTGACCCCAGCAAACCCTAAACCCGAGGACAGAGACAACTCATGCCTGGCAGCCAGGTGCCATCTCTTGGTGACTGTGAACCATAACTGCAGGCAGTGCTCACGGTTAAAATACTGGAGCTTCAGCTTCCAGAAAACTCCAGCGCTGGAGCTGGGGGTACCCAGGGGCCAGCCTGCAGGTGCCAGGATGGGGGTGTTGTGTGATCACCCATCAGAACTGCATGTGGAACCCTGAAATGGGAAGCGGGGTGGAATCCAGAACTCCAAGTGACCCCAGTGCCCCATACCTGCGCACCTGTGAGGGTGGGCACAGTGGAGGGTGAGATGCCACAGCACTCCTGAGCGTGAGGAGCTGCAGGCCTCAGGCACATCCCTGCTGGATGTTTCATTCTTGCACTTGGAAAAAAAACCTCAAGAAACCCCAGTGGTTTTTATTTATGGGAAAGATTGAATCTTAAAATATTGCTGAGGCATTTGGTGTCTCAGTCCACAGTCCCCTTTCATTTCAGGGTTCCACATGCAGTTCTTGAGTTTGAATTTCACAGCCCCCAAAACCTGATTATCATGTTGGGCCATGTGAAAAATGCATTTGAATTTTTTGTTTTGCACAATTTAGTCCTCCTCAGGCCTCATCCCCCGCTTCTCTCCTCCCTCAAAGCCTCATCCAATATGCTGGTTTCAAAGACCACCGTCTCCAGCCCAGACCTCTCTCTCAGTCCTCAACTTTGTGGAGGAATCTCCCCACCCTGCATCCTCTGTAGGTCAGCCCCGGGTACATCCCGCCTAAAGCAAAGAGCTCTGCGTGTCCTCTCTCTGACCCTACGATGCACACTAAGCAGGCTCTGATCATCCTACCCGCCAGCCCATCTGAAACTTGAGTCCTTCCTCAGACCGTGGAACTCAAGTTCCCTGCCCCAGCTCACCACGCTTCCTGAGTTAGGATGGGCTAGGTTAGGCAGCTGTGGCAAATAGCCCAGTGTGTCAGTGGTTTAAACAAAGCCACAAAAGCCCCACTGCAGGTTGGCTGGGGGCTCTACTCCCGGGTCATCACCGTTACTCTAGCACCCGGTTGGCAGAACAGGCACGAATGTTCTATTCTAGAACATTGTTGGCTGCCAGGGCAAAGCAGCACGTCACTTCTCATGGGTGACTGGCCAAAGTGTGTCACATGCCCACACCTGAGTTTAAGGAGATGAGGCGGCATAATCCCCCTCAAAGCAGGGTGGTGGTGTTGGGAGAAGGGTGTCCTACCAAGGCCTCCCTCTCCTACAGCCCGTCCACACTCGCCACCCACCGCCCGGCTCAGACCTGCCCTCTTCAGGGCCCCCAGGTGTGCCAGATGTTGAAGTGTGACCGAGATCCTCTCCTTCCTTGCAGACAGTGGTGTCCCAGAGCCAGCTGTGTGTGTGGTCACCACGGCTGCAATCGACATCCACCAGCCCAACATCTCCTCGGACCTCTTCTCTCTGGACGTGCCCCTCAAGCTCGGCACTAATGGCACTGGGGCCAGCGCCACCTCGGAGATTGCCTCCCGCAGCTCGGTCACCCGGGCCCAGAGTGACAGCAGCCAGACGCTGGGCTCCTCCACGGACTGCAGCACCGCCCGAGAGGAGCCATCCTCTGAGCCCGGCCCCGCTCCCCTGCCACTGCCGCTGCCACCCCAGCAGCAGGTGGAGGCGGCCACAGTCCAGGACCTGCTGTCCTCCCTGTCAGAGGACCCCTGCCCATCCCAGAGGGCCTTGGACCCAGCCCCCCTCGCCCGGCCCAGCCCAGCAGGTTCGGCCCAAACCAGCCCCGAGCTGGAGCACAGGGTAAGTCTGTTCAACCAGAAGAACCAGGAGGGCTTCACCGTCTTTCAGATCAGGCCTGTCATCCACTTCCAGCCCACTGCGCCCGTGCTGGAGGACAAGTACAGATCTTTGGAATCCAAAGAGCAAAAGTTGCACAGGGTCCCTGAGGCCTAGAGCCTGCAGTGGGCTGGGTGGGAGGAGGGGAGATAGCCATCTCGAAGCTCTCCTGGGACCCTGGAGGCTGCCAAGGGCCACACGCGGGGCCCAGGAGCCCACCTGGCCTCCCTCAGGGTGCTGCCTGCCTCCAGGAAGGCGATGCCAGGCCAGGAGGCCACAAGCTTCAGACCTCAAAGCCCAGAGCTGGCGCCTCTTCTCGCCCTGCTCGGGAGGGTGGTGCTCGTGGCTGGGTTTTCTTTTTAACCATTTTTACAAAAACCAGCCTGTGGCCCAGCTTCAGCAGGGTAGAGTACGGGGGGCCAGCTCAGCCTCTTCCGTTGCCTTCGTTCCTGACGCCCACCCCGGACCCTCGGGAACAGCACTGTGAGCAGGGGCTGTCCAGCCCCACCCTAAGCCGTCTCTCCCAGGAATCCTGGGTGGAGTCCCACACAATCACACAGAGAGACCACCATCTGAGCCTACTTCATCTGTCCTCATTCTCATTCCAGCATGAGCGTTTCTGAGTCTCTTCAAGACAAATCTAGTTTTCACCTTCACAGGATATAAAGGGATCAACCTAGAGGTGGGTGGGAGGGTTCTGGGAGGCAGGGGGGCAACCATTTTCCAACCTTGGCTTTAATAATAAAAACCAGCTGCACTGAGACTCCCAGTTGGTGGAGGTTTTCCTTTGGTTGCTAGCCCAGGCCAAGTGTCCAGAGTGGTTCCCAGCCAGGGCACCACCGTCCACCTAGGTACGGATGTGTGTGGCATCACTGGCTCCCTCCTTGTTCCCTGTGAGCAGTCATGAATCCTGGCCATTCCACCCTCCAAATTGGAGCGCCTGGCCCCATCACGGGCTCGCTGAGGCCCAGGCCCCCTGCCGGACCGCACTGCGGCAAGCCTCCGGTTTCGCCCTCTCCAGCGCATCTTCCCAGGCAGCTAAGCCTCGGCGCCCCTGCTTAAAAGCCCCCAAGGGGTCCTGTATGTATGACCATGTTTTCTTTTATATAGTTGGGGGGTGGTAAGGAAGACGATTTTGTAAAGGGCTCCCATTGCCTCAAGAGCATGAGTGCCGCTCACAGCCCCTTCGCGAGCCGGCTGGCTTACCCCTCTGGCTGTCCTCCCACGCCTCTGCCCAGCCTGTTCTTTCTCCCCTCTACCTTGCTCTGGGTTAGTCTCACTGTGAGAGTGTCCCGCCTGCTCGCACTGCTGGGCTGGGTGTCTTTGGAGCTTCTGTGTCCCCCTGGACTCACCTGACAGAGCACCATGCCCCTGGCTTGGTCAGCATCTGCTTCCCTGCCTGCCTCCCAGGCTGGTCCTCAAGAGCAATGGGCAGGCCTGAGCTTCATTAGAACCCCACAACTCTGCACCAGGCCACAGCCCTGGGCACGGAGCCACTTGGGTAAGATGGCTGAATTGGAAGAAAAGGAAAGAAGTTACCACATGCAGGCAAAGAGCACCCTCCTGATTCATGGGGAGATCAGCAGTTGTCAAAAAAGGTGTTAAAGGTGGCAGCATCCAACTGAGCCCCTCTTGGGGTCTAATGAGAAGACCTACTAAGGGGAAGCTTTTGCAAAGGGCAAGAGTAGCTGTCCTGAGGCATCACAAACAACACTGTCATAGTGTCCATCACCGGGCACTCGGCCAGGGCCCCTACCCACATGGGCTCCTTTAATCCTTCCAGCGACCCAGTGAGGCATGTATCACTAACCCCATTTTACAGTTGAAGAATCTGAGGCTCAGAGAGGTTGAAGAAACTTTCTGAGGTTGAACACTTAATGGCAGGCCCAAAATCTGGGGCCCAAATCTGCTGCCACCGTGCTAGGCACTGGGGTTCCCAGGGTTGAGAGCTTTGGGAAGCAGGGCGGTCACTTGGCTTTTGCCACTCGATGGGTGGGAGGGCATTACATGGTTTGCAGTCGGTAGGGCAGAAGCCAGCGGGCTCAGTAACTGGCGATCTCCACCCACTGGACTAGAAATGGCGCCCTCCTCCTCCAGGCGCACCTTGCTGAGTTGTGAAGGGTCTTCTGGAGGGCTCCATCGTCCCAGCTCTTCCGCTAGTGCTGTCACCTCACGGGCCCTTGAGCCTGGCCCCGTGCCAGCAGGAGCTGCAAGACTGGCTGGCAGCACTCCCATCTGCTGGGGACTCCTCCAGGAAGAGCCATAGTACGGAGGGATGCCATGGGGAAGACGCGAGGCAAGCGGCAGCCGCTCTCTTCAGTTTCTCCTCTAGGAAATGGGTCTCTAGAGAGCTCCACTTTTTCTTTGTCTGTTTTATAGGCACTCCACTTTTTTTTTTTTTTTTTTGAGGCAAAATCTCGCTCTGTTGCCCAGACTGAAGTGCAGAGGTGTGATCTCGGCTCACCGCAACCTCCGCCTCCCAGGCTCGAGCAATTCTCCTGCCTCAGCCTCTGGAGTAGCTGGGATTACAGGCACGCACCACCACACCTGGCTAAATTTTGTATTTCTAATAGAGATGGGGTTTCATCATGTTGTCCAGGCTGGTCTTTAACTTCTGACCTCAGGTAATCCATCCGCCTTAGCCTCCCAAAGTGCTGGGATTACAGGCATGAGCCACTGGGCCTGGCCGGAACTCCATGTTTAAAAGCAGATTTCTTGGGGTATTTACAAGTTGCTGTGAGGTGAGACCCTGCTGGGCACTTGCTGCCGCCTTCAAACTGCCTCACAAATACACAGAGGCTGGGGACAGAGATAATAGGTGGTCCCAAGTCCAGAGCCCACAACAGTCACAGCCTAAGATGGTGCACACGGACGGAGGAGGCTACTGACCTGCCTGGGGACATCTGAACGCCTCACAGTGAAGGAAGCATTTAAAGGCGATTTTAAGCGTAAGTATACCAGATGCCCTCTTCTGTTTGTTGTGGGAGGGGACAGCAATTTTTAGGGGTAGTTTCGGCACTGGGCTACAAAACTGGCCCACTTCTGGAGAATGTGAGCAGGGTTTTTGGATTATCTCCCTGACTTGAAGTCAGCCGTTAAACCAGTTTTTTAAAAAAGGAACGTCAGAAGGAGGGCGGCGGGACAACAGCAAGCGCAGGAACAGCAGTGAACTAGGCGAGGGAGCAGGGAGAAGTCTGGTGTCAGGAAGGGGATGGCGTGGTAGGAAGGGGAAGGGGCCGCAGGAGGACAGGCGAGGCTGCTCACAGAGGCCTTGGGCGCCAGGCGGAGCCAGATGTTCTCCCTAGAGAGAAAGCACCTCGGAAGGGTTCCCACAGTCTTCCGGTAGGTGTGGAGCAGCCGCCGGAGGGAGGGGCTCGTGTCCAGAGGAGAGGGGACCAGGCTGCACACGCGCAGGCAGGATGAAGGCAGCAGGTGGTAGAGACACTGGGGAGACCTGACTGACGGGACTTGGTACCCCCTGGATGTGGACTTGGAGGAGATGCCGCCATGTCCACTCTGCAGTGTCTGAGCATAAGACATCAGGATGGCTGTGCCTGGCACCAAAAGCATAGAGAAGGACACCAGAGCCAGAGCCAGAAACATGGCAGTCCCTTCTGCAGACTCAAAAGCGCTTCCCCCAGGCGGTAGGTGGAGGCCTGGGTCATACCCCATCCCACAGCAAGTCCTAAGGTGGGGCTTGGGGGCCTGGAGTGCAGGAGATGGAGGTAAAAGCTTCAGCTTTCACGGCTCCCCTGGGCACCGTATCCCAGAGTTATGGCCGGCGGGCAGCTGGGGGTTGGGGGAGATGGAGCTGAGCACTCCCTGGGAGGTTGGCAGCTCTGGGAAATGGCTCCCGGTTCTCCTCCACCCTTTTAGAGAACCCACTCTGGTGGCCCAGAGGAGCCATTGGGCTGTCCCTGAAGGGAAGGTCTGGTAACAGCCACTGTCTCCTGCTAGAAGAGGAGGGTGGTACAGTAATGACTCCCACATCTGCACTGCCTGTTGTGACAGGTGCTCTTCACAGGCTTCCCTCCTTAGCCCAGCCCTGGAGGGTGGGTGCCATCTTCCCTGCTTTACAGAGGAGAAACAGCAGCCATGGAGTGACTCATGCAGTGACTGCCCAAGGGCATACTGAACTAGTAGGCTGTCGTGGCAGGATTCAAACCTAGGTCTGTCTAGATTACATGCCATGCTAACTGTGAGACAAGCTGCCCGGAATCAAACCAGGTGCCACCAGGAAAGCCGGAGATAAGAAATCAGGACTCAGAGCCAGCAGTGCTGGTGACTGGCCCACAGGGGAGCTGGGTGGGAGCCTGTAGCCCCGGCCTGAAGCCTACCCAGGATGGGGGAGCTATAAGGCCTTCCCTGAGTGGCACAACAGGCAACTCTCCAGCCAGCCCTGGGCAAGATTCCCAATTCAAAGTGTGGCTTTTCAGATCAAGCCCCAAAGACGGGTGTTGGGAGGGAACCCTGTGTGGCTAGAGGCTAGTGGCCTGGAATTCTCTTTAGCGTGGTGGGCACCCACCTGACCCTCCACTCAGGAGCTCCTTTCTCCCTCCAAGACAACTCATGACGGAAGCCAGAGCGGGGACAGCACGGCTCGCACCTTGGCACTGGCGCCATGCTCCTCTCTCGTGCCATTTGGTTACCCCTGAAGAGAGAAGACAGAGCTGGGGCCTCACTCTTGGTGCTGCCGACAAACTGAGCCCAAGGAATCCCTCTTGCTGACAATCTGACAGCACTGTGTGGTCCCCTCAACACTTGCATGGAGTTGCTTCACAAGGACCCCCAACAAATCTGGGGGCTCAAACAGCCAAACATGGACATTTCAGGGCTGGAGAGAAGTCTGCTCATCCCACTCCCACCCACCTCCTGCCTCAGGTGCTGCTGTACCTATGCACAGGATGTGGCAGAGCCTGGATTCTCAGCCCAGCTCCGCTTCTGGTTTGCTCTGAGGCTCCAAGCAAATCCTTGGACTGGCTTCCTACCCGTGTACAACAGGAATGATCCTGTGCCTCCCATCCCGAGGGCTGCTGGGATAGCTAATGATGTAGTAGAAGGGAAAGCCCTCTGAGAATGTTTCAGGGGAGACACAAACAGAAAGCATCCTTATTAATGAGAAGTCTGGGGTGTTTTACTGCCAGCGCATACTCAGCACTTTGGAGGTCAGCTGCCCAAGAGATGCTCTTGCTGCTGCTGACAGTCCGGTGTGGGAGGGTGGCAGTGAGTCCTGCCCCCAGTCCCGACAGTCAGCCCGGCCACTGTTTGCTCCTCTCCGGAGTGCACCCCTGCTCACACGTGCCCATCTGTTCCTCTGTAAACCACGCCTGTGGTCACTCTGAGTTAGCTAAGAGAGCACTGTTATCCCCCAGGCAGGAGGCACCTTCTCTTCCTTCCTCTCCCTTTGGCAAGTACTACTGGAGTATCTGCCAAAAACTTATATTTCCCTCACGTTAACTAAGTGAGGAATTCACTATTCTGAGTATCTTTGACTCCATTGCTGAAAAGTTTGGTACCCTCTCCTGGTGAATAGTTAATTTAATTATCTAAGGAAAATGACGAAACATTTGCTGCTAAAATTTATTGCAAGCTACCAGGAGACAGTGCTGGCATAATTTTATGCAGAGCCCCCAGTTGCAGCATAGGGAAGCAGGCTGCCTATTCATCCTGAAACAAGCAAATGAAATTGACTACCCTGGAGATCAATCAGGACATTAAACACTGTGATGGATGTGGCAGAATTCTTCAGTGTCTGAGATTTAT